TTGCTTTTAAACATGGTTGACCATGGTCTACCATGGTATTGATATTGCTTTTAAACATGGTTGACCATGGTCTACCATGGTATTGATATTGCTTTCAAACATGGTTGACCATGGTATACCATGGTATTGATTTTGCTTTTAAACATGGTTGACCATGGTTAAACCATGGTTGTTGTTTTACATAGCAAGACACTAACTGACCATGGTTTACCATGGTTAAACTTGTGCAATTTAATGTTCATGGTCACATCATGGACAAACCATGGTCAACCATGTTTGCATGTCCTATTATGTTTTAATCATGTTTGACCATGGTTTGACCATGGTCCTGACGCAGGGGGGCCCTTCTTTGGCAACTAGGGTTGCATGGATTATTTGCATTGCTATCGGTCAATCTGATAAAATTAAGTTAAGGCAAAGTAACTAATATATCCTATAATAGTTTGTAATACCTGTGAAACCGTCTCCTTCAAATCTAGACTTACACGTTCATCTATACGAACCAATGGAGTTGCTACATTCAGCATTGTGATAACATGTGCTGTGCAGTTTGCCAGAATTGATGTCTTGCACCCCTACAACATATTCATCCATGTCTGTGGCAGAAGAAAGTTAGGTTATAATATGATTAATTGAAATTATTCAAGCCTCATACACTAAAATAGGTTTATGTCCAAATAGTGATCAAATAGTATGATTASTTGTACTCATAGTACTCATATGATGCAGAGTTTTGGGTATTCCCATTCAATTATTGACCCACGGTGATGCAGAATGATTATAAGCAACACAATCTGCATGTGAACTATTACATGTGACAGAGATGATTTCGATTTGGTTTTAATTCCAGGTTTACAAATCAAGGTGATTGACAATTATTATTATTATTATTATTGAACAGACAAAAAACAACACTATATAATCAAAATAATAATGAATCTTGCCATAGAGCTACGTATTATATATTATCTATCTATCTATCTATATCATTTATATATCAATCAATTTCAAGTAGCCAGTTGTCAATTGACTATACGTAGAGAGATTTACAACTGCATTCAAGAAAACTATTAATGTTTCCATTATTATTATTATTGTGCAGTTTATTAAACATCTGGATGCAAGACAAAGACACTCATAGGGCACGTAAACAGTAACTTATGAGTGTTCAAACTATTTACAATTAGATATGCCCAACAATAAGATATTTACAAAATTATTATCTACAACATAAGTCAGACTATTTAGTAAATGCAGAACATAAGAAGTACTTTAAAAATAATTTAAATCTAAAATTTGTATTATTAAACTCATTAATAACTCATGAGGAAAACACAACAGAAATCACGACCRTGAAGAGTKTTGTAAATCWGRTACARAATMSTGTTCATTTKCATWAACTTTAAGWTGGATTTTCTTGGCCAGATTCACTTTTATCTTGAAAATTTTAGGGAAAAACAAAGGAACTAACCTAGCCGTTTGATAAATAATCTTCAGTATTCGTGTCCGTGTTGTATCCAATATACAAACTCTCGAGTTCGCATATTGAATACAACACGGCCACTCATACTGTCTATATTACAAAGAAACAGGTTAAATCATACGTAAAATTTTAAAATTCTTATAAGAATTCAGTTCGTATAATAGTTCATTTTCTATTTGGAGTCCTATATGTTCTTAAATGTTCTATATCATGTATACAAATGTTCATGTTATGATCTTAAATGTCCTTGCTATATTATTATTATTATTATTATTATTACTATTATTATTAATTTATGTTTATTTCAACTTCAGACATTTTTGGTCCATGAATACAGAATATTGCGGCCATCAGAATAGTCTTAAGCAAATATTATCATTATTATTATTATTATTACTATTGTTACTATTATTATTATTACTCTTTATTATTAGACTGGCTCATTTACCTAGCATTAAGTTTCATTAATTCAGCCCTAAGGTTCATTGATGTACAAGTTTGTTTACCAAGCTGCTGCCAGGCTATTGATACTTGTCGTCTTCTGTTATATATTTTTACAGTTGCATGTAGGATTGATTCCATCCTGCACTCTACTAATGTTCCTCATCGAATGTTCTTTCACTCCGACAAATCAACAGTAGTAACACGCAAAACTGACTATCGAATGGGACAGGGACCTAAATTTAATGTCAACTTGTKTGGCAAGTGGAAAGTTCGACAAAGCAATACCTAAATGTAAAGGTAAGAAACTATCATTAATTTACAAATCAAAAGAAATCCTAATGTTTACATAATTATTACTCGTTTTTCATTGTCAACGACATTGATGAGCGCAGAGTTGATCCCTCTACGGAGCTAAACAATCATAATGTGACAAAATAGCACAAGTGCAACAAGAATGCACTCTGTATTAATACATCTGCTGGTTCATACCGCTGTGAGTGCGGCGATGGATATAAAGGAAATAGTACTTTTTGTGAAAGTAAGAAGAAATTAAATAATATATAGAATTTAAATATATAAAATACAGCTTACAAAATGTACAATGTTTCATCCTTATGCAATAATGAATACCTACCATAGACTTAACCGCTGCTTCCACTTGAACTGTACCAGCTTGATTGGACGCAGAGCACATATAAATTCCTTGATCATTTTTCTCAATATTCGCCATAAACAGACTGCCATTAGGGTACACTTTGAAGTTGGGTGGGAGATTTGAGGAACCTTTGTGGAGCCATTTAATGACAGGTGCTGGATCACCAATTCCTTTACAGTGAATGATAGGCAAAGAGGAAAAAAATAACAAAAAAAGCACAAATTAGTGCAAAGATTTGAAAGTCTATAGTCTAATGAGGTCTACTGAATTTACTAATTTGTACAAATTTGTGCAATTTCTTACAAAGTTTTTCATGRATATATGGCGTGCACTCTACTAGTACTTCTCAGTCAAAACAACGCTGCGTCCTTATTTGAAAAAGGTTTTAATATTGAATGTTGATGGATGGTAC